CTACTGTAGAGGGAGTGTGTGAGAGGGAGGAGCTGCCTCCTCTTTTATACTCTGGCTTCCAGGAGTTGAGAATGTGTGGTCACGTGACCGTGGCAAGGATAACAGTTAATCATTGAAGCATTTAAACAGTGGGACAAGTTACACAAGGTCGGTGGGACAGTGGTAATATATAAAAGCAAAGATAATTTAAATGATTAAAGATAACTTAGAGCAAAGATAATTTAAAAGATTAAAGATAATTTAAAAGATTAAAGATAATTTAGAGCAAAGATAATTTAAAAAAAGATAATTGCAAAGATAATTTAAAATATTATTTTTGTTAAGTTTTCAGTACTTTAGTATTTTTAATAGTAATTTTTAATTGTTCCATCAATACCTGTGGACACGCCCTCCCAGTTGTTCCATCAATACCTGTGTTCACCCTCCCAGTTCTTCCACCAATACCTGTGTTCACCCTCCCAGTTGTTCCACCAATACCTGTGTTCACACTGCCAGTTGTTCCTCCAATACCTGTGTTCACCCTCCCAGTTGTTCCACCAATACCTGTGTTCACCCTCCCAGTTGTTCCACCAATACCTGTGTTCACCCTCCCAGTTGTTCCACCAATACCTGTGTTCACCCTCCCAGTTGTTCCACCAATACCTGTGTTCACCCTCCCAGTTGTTCCACCAATACCTGTGTTCACCCTCCCAGTTGTTCCACCAATACCTGTGTTCACCCTCCCAGTTGTTCCACCAATACCTGTGTTCACCCTCCCAGTTGTTCCACCAATACCTGTGTTCACCCTCCCAGTTGTTCCACCAATACCTGTGTTCACCCTCCCAGTTGTTCCACCAATACCTGTGTTCACCCTCCCAGTTGTTCCACCAATACCTGTGTTCACCCTCCCAGTTGTTCCACCAATACCTGTGTTCACACTGCCAGTTGTTCCACCAATACCTGTGTTCACCCTCCCAGTTGTTCCACCAATACCTGTGTTCACACTCCCAGTTGTTCCACCAATACCTGTGTTCACCCTCCCAGTTGTTCCACCAATACCTGTGTTCACCCTCCCAGTTGTTCCACCAATACCTGTGTTCACACTGCCAGTTGTTCCACCAATACCTGTGTTCACCCTCCCAGTTGTTCCACCAATACCTGTGTTCACCCTCCCAGTTGTTCCACCAATACCTGTGTTCACCCTCCCAGTTGTTCCACCAATACCTGTGTTCACCCTCCCAGTTGTTCCACCAATACCTGTGTTCACCCTCCCAGTTGTTCCACCAATACCTGTGTTCACCCTCCCAGTTGTTCCACCAATACCTGTGTTCACCCTCCCAGTTGTTCCACCAATACCTGTGTTCACCCTCCCAGTTGTTCCACCAATACCTGTGTTCACCCTCCCAGTTGTTCCACCAATACCTGTGTTCACACTGCCAGTTGTTCCACCAATACCTGTGTTCACCCTCCCAGTTGTTCCACCAATACCTGTGTTCACCCTCCCAGTTGTTCCACCAATACCTGTGTTCACACTCCCAGTTGTTCCACCAATACCTGTGTTCACACTCCCAGTTGTTCCACCAATACCTTTGTTCACACTGCCAGTTGTTCCACCAATACCTGTGTTCACCCTCCCAGTTGTTCCACCAATACCTGTGTTCACCCTCCCAGTTGTTCCACCAATACCTGTGTTCACACTCCCAGTTGTTCCACCAGTTCCGTAATGATTTGTAAATGTTGTGATGAATTTATTTAACACAAATGTTTGAACGAATCAGCCCTGAATTTACCGGGTTCAGGGAATGTTATTTCTTCATTTTATTCGTTATCAGTATTTCCCGTTATCAGTATTTCCCGTTATCAGTATTTCCCTTACGTTTAGTAGGCAGAACTTTTAGTTTATTTTTAGTAAACTGTTCCACATGTTTATCACCCGACTATAAACAAAAATTATTAAAGAAAATGGGTTTATTAGAATTAAGGAAAACGGTTGACCAGACCACACACTAGAAATTGAAGGGACGACGACGTTTCGGTCCGTCCTGGACCATTCTCAAGTCGATTGTGAATGTCATTCTCAAGTCATTCACAATCGACTTGAGAATGGTCCAGGACGGACCGAAACGTCGTCGTCCCTTCAATTTCTAGTGTGTGGTCTGGTCAACATACTTCAGCCACGTTATTGTGACTCATCGCCTGCATAAGGAAAACGGTTTTATTGTAATTAAAGAAAACGGTTTTATTGTAATTAAAGAAAACTGCTTTGTTTGAATTAAGGGGGAAACGACTTTATTGTAATTAAACCGGTTGTGTATAATTTGATAAGTCATGAAGATTGTCTTGTCGTTTTATTGTTAATAATATTGATAATAGGGTTAAATATATTGTTCTCCTGGGTAAAATATACTATATTGTCTTGCGTGATTTGGTTTATTAAACTGGGTATGAGGCGAGCAGTTGGAGATGAGTGCCCAGTCGCTCCTCCCTATCCTGGGCCAAGGTTTGTCAAGTACTTAAGACACCACTTACGAAGCCTGTACATCTTAGCTCAGTCAGGCGGTTTTGTATTTATTAAACAGTTTACGAGCTCTTAAGCTCTACGAGGTTGTATATAACAACTATCTTGGGACGAGAACGACCTCGTAGCGCTTGCGTGTTCGTAAACTGTTTAATAAATACAAACTACGTAGCCGTGATTGACGAAAGATATACAGGTTTCGCAGGTAAATGAATCCTATAGCTGGCCCTGGGGCTCGAACCGTGGCCGTTACTGAGTTTCAAGGCGAGAACACTGTATCCGACCACCCCACAAGGAGGGAGGGAATTATCAGGTGAAAGCACCGTTGTTTGTTGTTTAAGATTTAGCTACTGGGAACCAAAAGTTGCAAGTAGCACGGGCTATGGTGAGCCCGTAGTGGACTTGCCTGGCACCGGAGCGGGGCTGTAACTGGGAAAGCAGCAAGCCATTACGACTATATAGCACTGGGAAGGAGTCAGGATAAGGATTTGGGACGGGACGGGGGGGAGGGGGAAAGGACGGAAGGAATGGTGTCCAACTACTTGGACGGTCGGGGATTGAACGCCGACCTGCATGAAGCGAAACCGTCGCTCTACCGTCCACTCCAAGTGATTGCCACACCTTATATGGCTTTACATTTCTTAAAGCATCAGAAGGCACCTGTCTACTACCTTACCTTGCCAGGACTTCGGGGATCAGGATCCCCGCGGCCCGGTCCCTCGACCAGGCCTCCTCAGGAGATCGTCTGGGTGGTTTAAGGCCAACACACGGGGCAGAATGTTGACTACTGGGAAAGAATAACCTTGGGGGGGGGGGAGGAGGGGGGAGGGGGGAGGTGGAAAATACGTTGGACTGAAAAGTGGAAAATGTCGACCATCGCCTCATGAAGCATTGATGATCAGTGATGGATTGTGTTGAGATATTGCCCATTGTTTTGATTGTACTTCCGTCTATTCTATGTGTACACAGACGTGTATCATGTGTACAAACGGTTATCATGTGTACACAGACGTGTATCATGTGTACAGACGTTTATTATGTGTACAGACGTTTATTATGTGTACACAGACGTTTATCATGTGTACACAGACGTTTATCATGTGTACACAGACGTTTATCATGTGTACACAGACGTTTATCATGTGTACACAGACGTTTATCATGTGTACATAGACGTTTATCATGTGTACACAGATGTTTATCATGTGTACAAACGTTATCATGTGTACAGACGTTTATCACAAGTGCACATCCGTCTTTTGCGAGTTCACATTCGTCTGTGCCATATTTGTACACACATCTGTCATGTGTACATGTGTATACCACATGTGCACATCCACATATGCCATGTGCTCGGGATCTCTAACTTCTTTCACTCGTGAATTAAACGCGTTCACAATATGAACGCGTTTCCTATATAATTATGTTTTCATGTTCATATTTCAATAAAGTCTCACATAAATAGAACAAACTGCCAAGAACATAAGTGAATAAAACTTGGGGGTATTTTTAACCCGCCCCTCAACCCGTCCTCTTAAAAATAACGTCACTTTTGGCCCGTATGCGCGGCACTATGGCCAAATTTGGACGTAATTTGAAATGAAATCGACTCACAAAAGTGACGTTCTGTTCCGTTTTCTATTTGAGTCGTCCGACGTACGCGCAGAGCTTATAAGAGGACACTTTAAATTAACGTTTTTCATAACGTTTTGAAACTTTATGAGAATTTCCTGCCCACCTAACCTATCAGAGGACCCTTAACTTACTGTTGTTGAAAAAAAAATCCCAAATTTATTTTCAATTTTTTTTCATTTTCAAATTACGTCTAAATTCGGCCATACGGGCAAACGGCCAAAAGCGACGTTCTTTTTAAGAGGACAGGTTGCTCACCTAGGCCTGGAGGCCTAGGTGACCTGTAGGCCTGTAGACCTTCCCCTCGTGATTTTCTAGTCATTTTCTAGTCGACCTGTGATCCTAGTTTACAATCTTTAGGGAGATTCAGAGGAGCAGGGACTGTCTGGAGAGAGAGTGAGAGAGAGAGAGAGAGAGAGAGAGAGAGAGAGAGAGAGAGAGAGAGAGAGAGAGAGAGAGAGAGAGAGAGAGAATAGTAAACAATGGGGGACAAGTTAGATTAGTTTAGAAATAAAAAACTCTGTAATTAGTGAATAGGCCTGCAGATATATATGCCGTGATTGGTTATACACAGAAGCGGCCTCGTATGGCCTTGTATGTTTGGTCCATTATACACACTTCTATACCGTATACTTCCCACTTGTTACAGTCACGTGATGTCTGAAAAGACATGCTTAAGGATCGCGTTATATAATGATACAGATTATGTAAGGAATTTTATTCTTTAGCAGCCATGGAAGAGTTTCATCTTTTTAATGTACGAGGAACGTTGAAGTCTCCTAACCAAAGAGGCCCCCACCGAAATTGTTAGTGCCACCGCCGTAGTTGTTAGTGCCACCGCCGTAGTTGTTAGCGCCACCGCCGTAATTGT